AAGCAGCCAGGCAGGCAGGTGAAAGGTCGGGGTGGTCCCTGCATTGCCCCTGCTGACAGGGTCCATTTCCCTGGTGGGGCACACCAAGGTCCCACGTGCAGTCAGCCTCCTCAGACCGGGTGTCCATCCTGCCCACGTCCTAGGTGCATTCTGGATCCCAAGAGTACCTTTGGGACAACAGCTGGCATGATGCTTGCCCACCACCAGATGCAGAGCACTGGAGGGCACTTGACCTCAAGCCATGTCCCTGCACCCTAGCTGGCCTCTCAGATCTCCAGACCATGCCAGTCTCCAGGAGTTCATGTGTGCCAAAACCCAGGGATCCAGGCACTCCCTGAGGAGCTGAACATAGAACCTGGTGGAAACCCCATAAATTACAGCCCACAGAGTTATTTGGGATTACCACTAATTAGTTAAAGAAACATTACCCTCTGTGATTTCCATGGAGACTCGGTGGCCCCAGCCTCCACTGCTTCTCTTTGGAGCTGAGAAGTTATCAGGGGCACTTCCCTCAAAACTGGGTTGAATTGCAACATTTTTCTGTGGCAGTGTTTGCTTTGGTCTGAGGATTTCTGTGTGCAAAACAAACAACAAAAAAAAACCAAACCCAAAACACAACAAACAAGTAGATAATTTCTAGGAACAAATTAATGTGTTTAGGGACCAAGTTGGAAGAAGGGGGTGAGGGGAAAAAAAAAAAAAAAAAAAAAAACCAAACCAGTGAGGGACTTAAGAAATGCCTGGAACATGCCCAGAGCTTGTCCTAAAGTGAAATGGGGTGAAAAAGGGTCAGATATTTTTCTTTCAAATTTGTATTCTACCTGTTTAAGTGGCTCCTTGAAAACTTGTAACAGCCAAAAGTGTGTTTCACTGCTCTGAAGTAAAAGCAATCTGGTCTTCCTCTGGTGTTTTTTTATGAAACATCCCTTTACAAAGGTATATGCTGTGCTCTATTCATCTCCCAAGCAGCACTACTGAGCTACCACACATACATACAATTATTTCTAAAACCTAGGAATACAGGGGAAGGGGAGTAACATTCTGTACACTCTTTTTTTTTTTTTTCTTTAAAGAAGCCATTTCTAAAGATGTGGCAAGGGGGGAAAAAAAGCGCAGAAAGACACATTTTATATTAAAACCAGATGTGGAAAAGGGGGAAAAAAATTAGGTTTGTGCCAACCGGCATCAAGGAGAATTTTTGCGTTTCAGCTTCGGAGCTGAATCTGCAGCACGCCGCGCCACATGCTGATATCCGTCAGTGTAATGACTACAGCATCTCAGCAGCATAACACGCCTGCCAGCAGAGAGAAGGGAGTTGGTAAACTAAAATCAACCTCCTCTCTCTGTCTATTACGGTAGAACCTTTTGGACAGTTAGTGAAAACTGGTTCAAACTGTGCTGCCGTCCAAACTTCAGACCCATTGAAAAGCCTGCCTTGGCCCCAGGCCAAAGTCCAGTGTTTTATTACCAGTCTCATGTCTTTCTCTCCCTTGCCTTCCATTACCCACTTATTTTCTTTAGCTTTTTATTAAAAAAAAAAAAAAAAGTATCCTTCTAGTACAAGTATCTTAACAAATTCTGGTACATGTCACAGACCTCGTTAATTGATTCCACATCCAAAACAGAAGACTTGGGCTATTTTTGTTGTTCAAAGCTGTACATTGGCCAACATCCTCTGCATATAATTAACCCCCTATTTCCATGGAATCTCTGCATTAACTTATTACAGACTCGGTTGGTAATGAACTCCTGGGAGAAGTCCACACACAAACATTGGCCATTGGCTTTGCTGCCCACGTGGACTAAACAAAAATTAATCTCATCTATTTGGTTATTCATTTGGTGTCTTTAAATTGGAGGCATTTTTCTGCTTCGTTTGATGCACACAAAGAAAGAGGGATCTGGCTACTGAACTTTATCCAGAAACATCCATGTGTGGAGCAGATTAATGGGAACTTTTCATACCCATAATAGCTTTACAGCAGCGAAGTAGAACACGCAGTTCTCCCTGGGTGAGTATAATGCTCTGGGAGACAGGGAAAACAAATGTGGCTAGAAGATAGTAATGTTTTGCTCATCAAGTGCTGGATAGTTTAGACATCATTAAAATGACGTGTTTAGAACTGAACCTGGGAGGAAACTCACATTTTGTTAATGTGGGGGTTTTTTGTTTTGTTTTGTTTTTTTTGTGGTGCACTCAAACTTTTGGGCACTGAAATAAAAAGAAGGATGTGACAGATAGAGATGTCCCAAAGCAGCTGCTGGTATCAAGTGACCACATGTAAAATGGTAAAAGGGAATTGACAGGCAGACTAGTAAGGAAAAGAAGTGGAAGCAGCAGGGATTACTGACTCTACCCACTTCTCACTGGAAATGGTGTTTTCTAAATAAAGAGAACAGAACAGACATTTTTATATGACTTATAACTTAACTGGTAGCAACCATCCAGCTGAAATCCCAGAGAGCACAATCCCTCCTTCTCCAGGCTTTGCACTGACCACAGCTCAGCCACCTTACTGCTGTGCTTTTCCCCATGGGATAAGGCAGGGTAAGAATAGCAGTGTCCTCTGGAAAATGCTCTGAGAGCAACTAGAGAAGAAGACCTTAAGTGGATAATTCTAAAGAAACTGACTTCTCCTCTGCCTCCTCTCTACCTCTCAAACTCTGTCTCAAAAAGAGGGTGGTTCCTGGGTTTTGGTTGCAGTCTTCAACAGCAATCATCACTATACCATGTGGGGGTTTCTCTGCTCCCTTGGGCTCACATGGAGGTGTCCTGAAGAGGTGTCATCGGGACTAATGGTCTCTTCTCCCTGCCATGGACATAAAAACTGATTCTTGGAATTAAGTGGCTTTGTCACGTCAAAAGCATCAAGGTCATTACATCTGTGCTAAGGAGCTTCCTCAACCAGACCCTTACAAATTCATGCTCTAACTTTTGTGAACAGTACTAATCCCATTTCTTGCATGAGATCCAAATGTAGCAAACCTGCCTTTCCCGTAAATGCCCCTCCCTGCCTCTCATGTGATTTTGATTCTATTTAGAAAATACTCATTACTTGGAAAGGTATTTATGCAAATTTTCAGTTGAGGGTGTGCCATGTGCTGTGAAAAACCTCAGTACTGCCTAAGTCACCTCCTTGTACAATATTCCTGCTGTTGTAGGACATTGTGGAAGACAAGCAGAACTGGCCACATGCTTCAGAGCCCTCAGGATTTCCCCTGACAAGTGCTCCTCTTCCTGCAAGCCAGGGATGGAGCCCCTCCAAGACCAGCCCCTCAGAAGTGGCCTGAGCAGACTGAAGGACCACATGCAGCACAGCCCATTCCTCACAAGGGAGCTGCTAGCCAGGATCAGTGCTGGACAAAACCTCTGCCTTTCTCTGCAATGCCATCATTTTCAGACCGAGCTTTTCAGGCTCACCTAGCACTTGCTCAGGTGATAAAAGGTTGAGGTGGCAATTCCCTGCCTAACAGCACCCTAGCCAGCTGGATTAGTGCATCACTTGTCTACGTGCATCAAAGCCTTGCAGATGAGCAAGGGCAGATGGGTTTGGAGGAAGGTGAGCATGGTGACCCAGCTCCTTCTTGGAGGCATCTCTTCCCTTTCCCCCTGACCTTTCCAGCCAGCATCCCCCCAGGCAGCAGGGCTGAGGCAGCAGCCAGCTGTTCCCTGCCACATCCCCAGCAGCTGCTGCCCCCCTGCCACCTCAGCATCCCACAGGCATGGTGAGCTACATCAGTGGGAGAGCAGCCAGGGGTCACTAGTCTACAGCAAGAAGCAAAAATGGTCAATGTGCCATCAAAAATGGTCAATGTGCCATCTCTGCAAACAGGCTGGAGCCCCACAGTGCAGGAAACACACATGGGTGAAGCCCCTCAGGGAGGAGGGGACTACCTGCCCTGCACCTCAGCCTTGCAGAGGGAGCAGCAGGAGCTGTGTACCTTGTAATACCCGTTTCAGATGCACCTGAACAGAAAGCATTCTAAATTGCTGAAGGGCCTGGGAAAAGAGAGAGCATTCACAGCCATGGCCTTAAGTGCTCTTCACCTGAAAACCACCTGCTGAGATGTTGCCATGACTCTCATGGCAGTGCCTCCAGGGTGGTGTGTCCTGGGGTGACATTGCTATTCATCTCCTGCAGTTTGAAAGATGAGCAGCAGGACTGTGACTGGGTGCCCCGTGCTTTCTGTGTCATTTTCAGGCTGGACAGGGAGTGGATAGGCTTTGTTCATCCAACAAAGGTCTCCAGTCACTTCTGACAGGCTGCCACAACCTACTGGCTGACATCTCCTGCCAAAAAAGGAGAGCAGAAAGCAAAGGGTGTACAGAAAATAGAAATCAGGCTTGAGGACAAATACCAAAGCCAGTGAGGATGTGGCTGAGACCCACCCACTTCTGCAAAGCAGCTTTGCAAGTTCTTTTGCCACCAGTATTTAACCAGTCAACCAGTTCATCTAGTCAGCTACGTCAGCAAACACCTCTGCTCCAACCACACCACTCTGGTCCTCCAAGCAGTTGCTGCTCAGCCCTGCTCAGGCACACCACTGCCAGCTGGAAACACACTGGCTCAGGTGCTGAAGCTGTGCAAAAGAGCAGCAAGGCACAGGGGATCAGCAAGCTGCTGGAGGATGACACAAGTTCACCAACACAGCTGCCCAGCTCGCCTTCTTCCAGGCACAGGGTGCCTTTTCCCAGGAACAGGGTGTCTCTGGCTACATTACAGAAGGCAGAGCACAGCTAAGAAGAGGAAGCAAAGCAGAAGTGTCACGTATGCTCGCTGCATCAAACCCAGCATCTGAAGGACACTGATGTCATTGAGTGTACATAGATAATTTATGCAGGCAAACACATCAGCTGGACGTGTCCAGGCCCATGTTCATTACCAGCTTGGAGATGAAGTTGGTGGGATTCCTGCAGTGCTGAATTACTTGGCTCATTGCTAGCACACATTCTCACATACGAGTTTTTGCACCAGAGTGCAAAAAACATTGTGTAAGAGTTGTGACTTTAAGATCAGGATTGCACCTAATCTAGCAGTCTTTATTTCACAGTTCCCATGAAAACAACAGTGTGATTGCCCTTTATTCAGCATTTACTAATGCTTCTAAAATACTGGGAAGAATTTTGCTAATCATCCATTTCCTTACACTTCACAAAGGAGCTGAAATAAACCCTTAAAAATTAAAAGACGTGCAACAGCCAGTGGAGGTCTGTAAGCTGCACCAGTTAAGTAACCAGCCAGCAGATTACAGCACAAAAACCTTTTCAAAGGGAACTCGATAGCAGAGCATCGCTGAGAACTCCATGAATTGAAGATCGCTGGGTTGCCTCTGAGGGACAATTTTGCTGAAAGTCAGTGAGACCCTAGGGAAGAGATTTAGGGAATTCACTTCTCATTCAGCCTAAAGTATTCTCAAAGCAACTTGGATAACCACACCAATATCCAAAGCCTCCTGCTCAAGCACCCAAAATTCAGACCACCCACAGCTTTCACACACATTCAGGCCCCCAAGGAGAAGCGAGACTTGTCTAGTGGATCCAGAGTTTCCCACTTCTCTGCTTCTCATATTTCCTTACTCCATGGAAACTACCCTCAGCACAGGAGGGAGCTGCCTGTATTAGCAGGGAATGCAGCCTGGAGAGGAAGACGAGGAGAAAGCAACTCCTACTGCTCTTCAGCCAGCCCCAACCATCCTGCAAGCTTTGCAAGGCTCTGCAAGGAAGACCATGAACCTCAGGGAACCTGTGGTGCATGTGATTGCCAGGTGCCATCTTCCCAGGAATCTGGTGAAGGGCCAGCTGATGGAAACAGTGACCAGGCAGCACACTGGAAACTCTGGGATTTCAAAGGCTTCCTTGAAGTTTGAAACTTGATGGCCTCCATCACATGCTTCCCAGTCAGACTTCCCAAGATCACCATATATTGTTTTTCTTTACTCTTTATGATGCTCTGGACGAAAGATACCAATCCATCTGTAATCACAGAAAAATAATATTATAAAAAGTCCCAATAAGCTGTTGGGACCCAGTAATTTCTATGAATTACATTAAGTTCAGGAAAGAAAAAACAGGAAATTGACCTACAGTAAAAGCAGACAATGCTGTGTCAGGAAAGAATAGAACTTCCCTATTTATCAAGCTGGGAAATGTCAGCTGGGGTTTTAAAACCCAACCTTTATGTGTCAAAAATGTAAAACTCACAGCAGAGCCAGGCTTCCAAAAGTTTATCTACACAGTTGCAAGCCTTGTATAGACATGACGAAGTTCTAGCAGCTCAACAAATACCACAATTTTTACAGTGAGTTATTCAGGCCAGCTCTGTGAATATGTATTTAATTTTCAGTTTATTTTGCTTTAGATTAAAATTGACTTTAAAATCAATTATTCTGGTTTCAAACCAAGTTGTCCACTTTGTAACAATTTTAAACTTTGCTCTCAGTCGTGGAAAATGACTTTCCCACAGAGCAGAGGACAGGACAAGTTTTATTTCACACTTTTGTTTATTTGTGAACTCCTGTGTGGAGCTAGTCTTATTTTAGAATAAAAGCACTCATGCAGGGACTCAAGTAACAGGAGATTTAAAGCTCATATAATTATTTCTGAACATTTTGTGTGTACACCAGCTCTGTATCACAACACCCATGCTGTATGCCAGCTCTGACGTCATGACATAACTCGTTGTAATAGATTATTTGGGGATTAAAACCAAAACAAACAGGTATTATAAGGAAAAAATATTGCCACATGAGGGCATGCTTCGTCTCTTTCAAAAGCTTGCCTTTTCAACTCAAATCTAAGTCAAGTTATATTTTAAGACCAAGTTTTAGAAAAAGGAAAACTCAGGTTTTATTTATGATTTGCTAGGTTTGTAACATACCAATTAAGTGCAAAATTAGCACAAACTTTGAAAAGAAGCATTCTTTGCTTCCATCCGTGGTCACACTATTTTCCTGTGGTGACAGCAGCATGCACTTTGGGCTTAGGGCAGAGGAGATGAGCTATCTCAATGCATAATACTCGTGTTCTGTACCACGTTGTACAAAATGAGCACAGCACAAAATCCAAACACAAAGTTATGAAAGGCATAAATTTCACCTTTTGCCCAATGGGAACAGCTTCCCAGCCGACCAGGCACGTCAAGGCAGAGGGAGGCACCTCATACTGTTCTCTTGCAAAAGAAGGGCAGCGTTGCAGGGTTCCCCAGGGTTTCCCAGCTCCAACACACCACTGGATCAAACTCCTCCCAGAAAAGTCTGAGTCTGCAGCCCCTTGACCGTGAGATTGCTGCCAAACCTGCAGCAGACCTTCCTGGGGATTCCTCAAGTCACATGGTCACCCCAACAAAGTATTCCCTGCTAAGTCCCTCTTTTAGGCAACACTACCATCATCAAGCTTTCAGAGCCTACCAGGTCATTTGTGCTAACAGCTCAGAAATTAATTAGGTCTGCAGACCGTACTGCAGACAGGCAGCAAGAGGTTAATATGTTCACCTAGACAGCTGCACCAGAGCAGGAATCCTCAAGGCCACAAACATTCTCTGGTCCTGAAAGAAGGATTTTGGACACATGGTGGAGCACAGTGATTAATTAGGAATCCACAGCATCCAAGTGTTTGAGTCACTACAAGTAATTTTTCTTCTAGTGAGTCAGAGTATCTGCATATTCTTTCTTCCTGGAGACTTGAGTACTTAAACATGCAGCATCCCACTCCGGTATCACATCTGTGTCATGGAAATGATTTCACAAAACATTAGGATTCTCCCAGCTAATTCTGTTCTCTAGTCTATATCCACTGATGCTCAACATGCTACAGGATCTGGCTTGAGGTGATTTGTTGAAATCAAATGGGAGGGTGTTTTCCCACATTCCAGAGGAGCAGGGTCACACACAGAGTTCCAAAGCCTGCCACTCACCTGGCCTGGGCTCAGCCATTCCTGCCAGAGGAACACAGCTCCTGGAGCCTTTATCCTTGGCTGATTCAGGGAAGCAGGAAGCTGCAGAGGCTGTAGCTCTCACAGCACACGGCTGCACAGTTTTAGAAGTCTGAGCGTGTGCTGACTAAGATGTTCACACTGACGATAAAAGCCAGCTCACAGGGGAAATCTTTCTTCAGTTTCTCCCTTTATCCAAGAGATGTAAATTCACTGTGTGTGTCTTTCACCACCGCACCCATGCTCCAAGCTGACTTCATCTGGCCACAAAAAGACAGATGAAACACGAATGCTCCCATGCTTGTGAAGACAGGTGCAGTAAAAGCCTTTAGGTGGAGCAGTAAGTAAGTTGAGAGACGGGCTTTTAATCCGATGATGTGGAAAATACTGAATTCCCACATATTTTTGTTGTTGTAAACATCTTTCAATCATAAAACTGAAAGATGCCAGGCTTTATGTCCTCACTATAAAATATCACAGGAAAACACACTGTGTATTAGATGGGAGCATCACAGGTATTCTGTGCTACTGGTGACTACAGTTTTGCTCTTTCTTCTGTGATTGTACCAAAAGTAATTTTGAATTTATGCCAGAGCACATACGTACCTGGACATTTGCATTTGCACTATGCTCCTGGAGGGGCAGACCTGAAGGAACAAGAACCTTGGTTGTTTAGGCAGGGATCAAGTTTCTCCTTATCTCCTTTGCCAGGCCATGAACTGCTTTTTCATGCACCTCCTGGCTTCTCCACTAGCTTTTGCACTGCAGCCTGAACCCACCCCTCCTCCCAGGCCACCCCTGCTCCAGAGTCCTGCAGCTCCTGGTGGAGCTGTAGCCAGCCACCCCTGCCAGCTGGCTTTGGCTGCTGCCCCTTCCTCAGGGGCTTTGCATGGCCAGGCAGTCAGCAGGACCCAGAAGGGCTGCACTGCGATTTGCTAACGGGTTGGAAAGAGAAACTGGATCCCCCAGAAATAAAAGCAAGGGCAGGGATATGATCAGGCTGTCCTGCTGAGTGCTAAGGGAGAAGAGAGGTTTCCTGCTCCCTTGCCCAGCCCCTGGTACACACAGCAGCAATGTTATCTGCACCTCTGAGCATCCCAGGCTTGCCTGGCATTGGGAGATAAAGGAATTCTATCATATCTTTAAAGAGGGACAGGCTGCATGAGAGGTGGCCTGTGGCCCCATCTCAGAACTGGCAGGAAAAGGTCAGCGAGTGTGTGGGAGCAGGAGTGAGGGACACCTGAGTCACACATGGTAAGAGCAGCCTGGCACAGGCACTCACCCAGCTGGGGCAGCAGGATGGCCCTCCCACAGCTTCCTCTGCTGAGCAGAGTTCTGCACACAGGAATGAACTCCAGCACCTGAGGAACAACCTTCCCATCAGGCAGGGAGGGAGGTGCAGAGAGCAGGATGAAAGGGACTGTCAGCCTGAAGAGCACACAGGGGAGACAAGTAAAAATGATGGAGCTGAGCCAAGTAAATTAAAAAAAAGAACAAAGTGAAAATAAATACAGCAAAGTAAAAAAATAAATCCATAAAAATAAAGGGGAAGGAGAAGTAGCCACTTTTCTTACTGGCTCCTGCCTCAGCAGCACAGTCCTCTCCTAGCTCATGGAAGGACAAGATGGGTCTCACAAGGCTTTTTCCCTGGAGGAACATCACCCAGTGGACAGATCCCACAGCAGGAGCCTTTTGTGGACAGCAGAGGAGCTGACCTCCACCCAGAGTGGCCAAGGAGGCTGCCCCACGACCAGGTGGGTGACAAAGGGGCCGCCACTCTCCCTGGGTTCCTCGGACCCATCTCAGCCTGACCCATACCACCATTTCAGAGGTGGCTTGGCTGGGAGTCAACAGGAAATCAACACCCCTGTCAAAGGCTGGAGCAGCTCAGAGGCCACAGCAAGCTCATTGGCAGAGCTACTGCCACTACTACTCCCAGGAAAACACACAAGGGGAAAATACTTCTTTTTTCAGTTCACGCCCTCCTGAATTAGGCAGGACAAGGACATTTGACATTCACTTGCCCATCCAGGTGGCCTGTGCACATCCTTGTGGAGGAACAGTATAAAATCTTCAGGGAACATAAGAGGGCACTGGAGATGTCCTTTTTCCTATGTCCACGGCATTGGCTGGCTCACCAGCTTCCCCAAAACACACTGGTAGGATACATGTAGCAGGAGAAGGATGCAAAATCTCCAAGTCCTTGATTTCATTGGAGCTTTGGTGTTGTTTCTGACCAGCCACCACTTCAGCAGGTGGCATTCTAGCCTGTATGCCAGCATGCACACTTGGAGGTCTCTCTGCCAAAACCTGCCCTTTCTTCACATCACTGCAAGCATGGTCTGCCTGGGGGGGTTCCCTGAAAAGGCCTGTTTCCCTTTCTCTTCAGAGAAAGGGAAACAGCAACATTAAGCTTAAAAGGCAAAACACAGCAGGATTCAGGCACTGAACTTCCTTTTGTGCCACTGAAATTCCCATCCAAAGTCCCAGCAAAGGCAGGTTATACAAGTCAAACCTGCCCACACACAGGCACTGCTGTCCCAGGGACTTTTGCCCCACTCACAACAATAAATCTGTTTGCAAAGCACCAGCTTCCTGCTCCAGCTTCATCACTTGTTGCAGCATCAACAAGCCCCCCCCCAGCTCCAAGGCTGCCCCTTGCCACTCATCCCCTCTCCTGACTGGAGCCAGCAGGACAAAATCCTGTCCATCCAAAGCATCCCCCGCTGCTCCACCGACCGTTCTCCTGCAGTGGTTGCACTGGTGGCCCTTGGGAAGCCGCCAGGCTCCACGTGGCCATGGCCAAGGTGCGAGCACATTTTGCCTGCAAAAACCTGCGGCAGAGTGGCAGCCAACAGCTGGGCTGAGAAAGCTGCTGCTGCTTGCCAAGTCTACATGGTCGCCATAAAAAAAAATATTGCCAGGCTTTTCATGGAGTAAGAGCTAAGCACGAGCTCCCACTTCAGCCCAGAGACAGCCGCGCCTGCTTCTCTCTCTGCAGAGGAGAATTCCTCTTGGACTGCACAACAGGCATAAGGGAAAGAGCACACGGCAGCAATCATGGGAGAGTGGCAAGCAGCCATCCGAACTGCTGGTCACAAAGCTGTCCAGCAGCTGCAGAGAGAGGAGGGGGGAAATGAGCCAGAGGGGGATGGAGTGGAGGAGGAGGGGAAGAAGCTTCAAAGATAGGCAGATTAAGGGCAGCCCCTCAAATGAGTCAAAACTCACTGAGACGTGGTTACAACTCCCTGTTTAGCAGGAGGCATCCACAAATTAATAAAAAGGAATAAAACCTGGACAGCTAGGAAGTCGTAGTTAATCAGATTCATACATATTTAACAGGGACATTCATCTGAATAGAGGCCTGCCTGTAGCGTGCTAGAAACAAGTCACAGTGCCTGGGAGGCTCACACAGAAAGCTTTGCTCCAGGCCAGCATGAGACAGAAAGGCAGGGGATTGTTTGCTGTGCTCAGGGAGAAAGCAGCCCTGATGTGAACAGAGAAGATGCACACGCTGGTGAGGTGCAGGGCAAAGGTTATCTCCCATGCTGGTGAGGTGCAGGGAAAGGGCATGCTCTCTGGACCCTGACCCAGGAAGGACAGGATAGACCATGCTCTGTTTCACAGCTGAAACCCGCCTCCTGGCACACACTGCGGGGACAAGCAGGGCTGCTGCCTCTGGAGCCAGGGCAGCTGAGCTGCAGCCCAGGAGACAGCACAGCTGCTCAGGGGCAGCCCAGGAAAAAGCTTTAGCTCTTGTTTTCTGGTCCAGAGCTCTCTCTGTCAGTGCAGGAGCACAGATTTGACAAGAAGCACCAGAAAGCTTCTTGAAACATGTGCTGGGATCATGACTGACGTTATGAGGATGAGGGATGGAGGGATCACATCTCCTTTAGTCTCTCTTGCAATGGCCTGGATCTAGGCATGGACTTGGGCTATTAAACCTATTGCCACACATCCTGGTGGGTCCTTTGTGAATTCAAGCCTAAGAGAACCACGCTGCATCAAACCACATAACATCTACTGCACCTCTGTCTGGGCACTGGCTGAACCAATGCCCTTGCACAGGGCTCTACAATGGCATGTCCTGTATCAGAGTTGTTCCATGGGCAGCCCTCAGCAACCTTGGTATTTGGTGTGAATCCATTAGTATAAAAACGGAAAACCCAAACTGGGTACCACTGGCTTGGGAAGTGTCATCAAACAGGGTTCTCCCTGCCTGCTGTCCTCCATTTTGCAACCATATGGAACACAAAAGCAATTGTTACTAAGGTGAGATCCCTCTCTGTCTGGCACAGCCTGTCACAGGAGTTCTGCAACCCAGGCTGTGTCCTCACTGACACCTGCTCAACCTCAGAAACCCTCCAGGGGTTTGCATAAGCACAACTGGCTGAACTTTCCAGTGAGACACGGGAACACAGACACTCTCATCCCACAGGAATTGCTGCAGCCCTGCTGACATGGAGGCTTGTAGGTGGTGTTTCCAGAGCAGATTTCCCTCCCTCCTCAATGTGGAGGCTCTCCCTTGGGGCAGGAGCAATGGCTTTGGTCCACCCTGTGATCTGTGGCAAAAAGGCATCAGCCAGACAAGGAGAGGCTCTTATCGAACAGATGGGAGGCAGGACATAGCTGAAGAAAAAGTGGGGTGCACACCTACAGCACATGACAGTAGTACGTGATATGTTCCAGAGATACGGGGAAATTACGGTTATGAAAGAGACAGGAGGGGAAGGGAATGAAAAAAAAAAGCCTTTTGGCCCAAGTCCAGGGGGGAAGGTTCATTTCTGTCATCAGACTTAATGGTTCAGCCTGGGGAGAAATGCAAAAGGCAACAGGTCCTCCCTTCCCAGAGAGGGAGAGCAGGGTCAAATGCAGCAGCACCTTTCCTCTCCCTGTGCACACCACCTGAGGCAGGAGCTGTTCTGAGCTGCCATCAGAGCTGGGTTTATAGAGAACAGCAGTGGCCTGGTGATCCCTGCATCGTGTAGGGAATCAGAAGTACTTTTGCCCCAGGCCATACAGTAAGCTCAGTAGGAACCAGTCTTCATGCATCAGATATATTACATGGATGCCACATATCCCATTTGGCAACTCCCTCACAGATTGCAAGCTTCTGGACAAAGGGACTCCAAACTCTCTGGATCTGGCACAGCACTCACTGGGCTTGAATTTAGACATACATTCTTGGCCAGCAGCCCCAAGCTCTGGGAAGGAAGCATCCTTTTTCTCCCTCTCCTCCCTCCTTCCCACTCCTGCCCCCGGACGGAAGGCACATTGGATCACTCCTCTTTGTGAGTAAGGGAGTGCTCTTCTTCTGAAATAACACCCTCTGCATGGGCAGCTCTGCTGGTCCTGCTTGTCTCAACCCACCAGGAAAAGAAACCTCTGCTGCAATACTGTTGTGCTGGAATCAAAACACATCACAAAATCCAGCTGATTTGGTCAGGATTTTCCTTAAGGAGCAAATCAGGAAAACAAGGAGTTCCTGGTAGAGTGCATTGAAACATTATAGAACATGTTTAAATGCAGCATAGCTGCTTTATTATTCCTATTTCAAAGCTACTTTACTTGTAATTTTTTCTCCTTGTATTGCATTAGGTAAGCTGCAGAACTCAAACTAAAGCTTCCAGTTATTAAAAAAAAAAGTTGGAAGTAAGAAAACTGAAGATTTTAAAATTTGCCAAATCAA